CCCGCACCCCCCTCCTTGACCAGGGGAACGCAGCCGCTCCCCCTCCTCCCAGCGTACACACACACCCTCTCCCCCGACACCCGGGTCGGGCTTGGTCCCACTGAAGGGGAAGTGGCCAGAGTTACTCTCACCTGCTCAGGGGTCGCCAAGGCTGCAAGGAGGGCGCAGTGACTCAGATTAGGGAGCCAGGATCCAGCCAAAGCGGCCAAATCTTTCATCATTTCTCCTTGCCTAGGTTTCTCCGCCAAGAGTGAGGAGGCTGAAGGGCGCTTTTGACAAGATGAGGATAGACCTGGACGGTCTTCGGGCTTCAGACAGTTGCGTGCACAGCCCGCAGCTGGAGCGCACTGCAGGGCACTCTGAGCCGGCAGGAGAGGCGCACGTCTGGGTAGCTTGGCTCCCGCCCACCTCCAAGTCCTGTGCCTGCCCCTTGGGAGGGGTCATCTTTAGCCTTGGAGTTTGGCCCCAGCAGAGGCTCAGGGTAGCCCCAAAGATCTTCAGCCTCTCCCTACGCTCCCCCTGCTTTGCAGGCATCCTTGTCTGCTGAAATCGGCCCTTCCCAGGAGTCTCAGGTCTGCACTTCCAGTGGCGGGAATCCTGCACCAAGGTCGCAGATTTGCTTCACAGGAGTTGAAGGTGCCTCAAGACCCCAGATTAAGCTCAGTCCCAGGGCAGCTAGGAAAGAACCTGGTCTGGGGGTGCACAAGAAGAGGCAAACTGCCTTAGGGAGCTCCAGCGGCAGTGAAGGGGTTAGGCGCCACCTCGCTCCCGCCTGACTCACTCTCACAGCTCTAACCACTGCGGGCTATTTTTGCCAGAGAGGGGCCCCAGGCTTCCCAGCCACCACCCCCCTCCAGACCGCAGCCCACGGCAAGGCTGGCCCCGCTTGCCACCGAGGCGAGGCGCGTTGACTCAGAGACGCCCCCCACCCCCCACCCCCGTAAGCAAAGGCACGGGGCTGATATCCACAGCCACAGTAACTTCTTCCTTGGGGGTGCAGCGCAGCTCTGCTGAGCAGCCAGCCTCCAGTGTGTGCTGTTGCCGGTCCTGGCCGGTGCTACAAGGGCCACCGCTGGCTACTGGGTACATAGATTAGAGAGAGCTAAGACTTACATCTGTTAGGATATTTACTGACTGCCTTTATTTGCGGGCTCTGTAGGCTGGAGAAGTGAAAGTGCCGTGGTCCTGACACTGCAGTCTGGACAACAAATGGTTGCTTTTTTTTGATTCCTCACCTTCGGAGTCAGGGAGAAGGATCCCAGAGCTCCTCATCCTCCTTCTCATTAAGAGGACAAGAGCCACATGTGTGACTCTTGAGTCCACCAGAACCTGGATGACCTGTCTTGGTGGCTTTCACTTTACACCTGGATTCAGTGATCTCCAGCAGGGTTTGCATCCTTTCTTCTGCATGTCAGTCTGGGACCTCACCCAGGTTTCTGGAGAAGAATGAGATTCCCTATGCCCCCCCTTTCTCTGTGGGGACCATTTTCTCCAAATCTCTCTGGCCCCCAGAGTCTCCCTCAGGGTTTTGCCTCTGAGTCTACCCTCATCAGGCTCCAACGGGCCATCAGGGGCCAAGAAGGGGCTGGGGTCGGAACTGCTGCTCTAGGTTTCAGCTTCTCAGTGGCCCCACGACTCCCCAGGCTGGACTGTTCCAAACCCAAGGATTCATAACCCTGCTCCCACTTCCCGCGGAAGCCCAGCTCTAGGACAGGAGGCCACAGGCAGGCAGACTGGGTGGCCTGAGTTGGCCCGCAGTGCCCTTGACTCGACCGGCTGGCCTGAGCACTGACCCGCAGGCAGCTAGAGGGCGGTGGGACAGGCGGGGCCTGGAGAGGGCTGTGGTGCACACCCATTGCCTAATACCCCAAGCACGCGGCCAGCTCCAGGAAAGGGGAGGGGCGGGAACCAGAGAGACCTTGACAAGGGCTGGGACCATGACAGGAGGGGGAAGTTGGGGGTCTGTCATCACTGCAGGGAGGGAGTGGGAGCAAGCTGTCCTCCTTCCCCTGGATGAAAGAGTGGAGGGCTGCCTTTTTCATAACGTAGATGGAGGGTGTAGCGAAAGCAATATGAGAACATTGGGGCCCTGGAGGGCGGAGGTCAAAGAAAAGAGTGGGGGCCCCTGGAGATTGGGGGATCGAGCAACTGAGGCGGTGGCTAAAGCCAGGCACAGCCTCAGGAACCTCCTTCTCCTCCTCCCCCCATGTTTGCCTTGGCCCAGGGTCCCGGGTGACTCATCTATTGCTGAGCCGCTGATAGGGGTGGCTAGGCCCGGGGAACCCAAATTATAGGCCCGGGAGGGAAAGATGCGCCTGGTGGTGAGCTCAGCGCTGCCCACCCTCCACCTCGCACGCCTCCTTCTGCAGTGCCCTAGGCCACCACCTGGAGGCACCAAAGGGTCTGCAGCCTGATTGTGCTGGACTCCCAGGAAGAAGCGCCTGCTTTCAGATTTGACCACACCAAATCTGTGGAATTACTGTAGACAGAATTTCGCCCTCTTCTCTACTCTTCTAGGACTGATGGATGTACTAACGGGGATGTACTGCTGGAGGGGGCAGTGCTGCCTGCTGGTGTTTCACAGGAAGGTAGGTTCCTCTGCCCACACTCTTAGTCCAATGCCCTGCTTACTCTCCAGACGCCAACATCAAGGCAGTCCCTTTCCCCTCCAGCCTGTCTTCTCTCTCCCTATTCTTGCTGCTGAGTTGCTACTTCCAGCCTTTGAAGTTATCGGTGGTTGAAAGTGATGCACAGAAAAATAAAGCAGGGTAAAGGAGCTTGGTAGTAAAGTTCTATTTGTTAAATGAGGAGGGAAAAGGAAGTGAAGGAGCAGATCATGGAAATGTCTGAAGGGGGGCATTTCAGAAGACAGAAGAGCAGGTGCACAGACCTTGGAAAAGGATCATGCTTGGTATGTTCAAGGGATTAGCAAGAAGGCCAGCATGGCGAGAAAGGAAGACTCAATCCACAAGGAAAAGGGTGGTAGGTGATGAAGCCTGGAGGACCATGAAGAAGCAGGGACAGCTTACATGGAGCCTTGTGGCCCACTGCCAAGATTTTGGCTTTTACTTTGAGTGAGGTGGGGTAACCTTGGAAAATTTGGGGCAGAGGAAAGAAATACTATACCTTTTGGACCAGTAGGCCTAATGGCTGTCTCTGGACTGTCACGTAGTAACCGCAGTTCGAGTACCGGACCCAGTGGCTTAAACTCGCACTGGGCGCATGTGCCTGCGTGCCCAAGATCCCAAGAGGCGATTGGAGGAGAAGGGATTGCGGGCATGGCCATCCCCCCTGGGGGGGTGATTTCTCACTTTCTGTCTGTCTTTCTGGTGAGCATTTTTTGGGGGCCCCATCCCCTTAAACAAAAACCCCCAAAAAAAAAAAAAAAAAAAAAAAAAAGATGGATCTGGACAGACTGGGGATGGGGGTGGAAGCAGGGAGCCCTGTCAGGAGGGCTAATCTGTGTTGTCCTAGAGGAGTGGTGAGAATGAATCAGATTCCACACATATTTTGAAGATCAAAGGACAGGATCTGCTTTTTGATTTGGCATGAGGTGTAGGAAAATAAACAAGAGCCAATAATTAGCCTGGTAGTTAAGGCACTAGACTCTCAAATGGCTAGCCAGTGGTTCAACCCAGACCTGGGGGCTTCTTTTCTCACTTTTCCCTCTCTTTCCTCTCTCTCTCTCTCTTTCTCTCTTTCTCTCATGAGCACATGTGCCTTATAGCAAATTCAAATAATAATAAATTATTCTTTTAGTTATTTTATTTCATTTATCATCCTCATTTGTTTAATTTGATCACAGAGAAACAGAAAGAGAAAGAGAAAGTAGGAAAGCAAGCCTCTAGGTGTGAGACTCGAACTGTGGCTGGTCATGTGGAAGTCCGGTGCCCTAACCATCATTCCACCTGCTGGCCCCAATAATAAATAATTTTTTAAAAAATTATTTTATTTATTTATTTATTTTAATTTAACCAGAGAAAGACAGAGAGAAAAGAGAGAGAAGGAAAGTTAAAAAGCAGGCTGCCAGGTCTGGAACTCAAACTGTGGTGGGCCATGTGGGAGTCCAGTGCCTTAATCACCCTGCCACCTGCTGGCTCATTAAATAAATAATTCTTAAAAAAAAAATAAATAAATAAAAGAAAGAAAGAAAACAGATGAGTCAAGAATTACTCCAAGATTTTTGTCCTCAGGAGCTGAAAGGATGGGGTTGCCATTTACTGAGCTGGAAATGACTGAAGAAAGGGAAGGTTAGGGCAAAGGAGAAATCAAGAGTCTAGTTGTAGACATGTAAATTTTGAGATGCTTATTCGAGTGTTAGGTCAAGTCCAGAGTTGAGGGCCAGACATATAAGTTAGGTAGTATGAGACAGTTCACCATGGGAGTCTGTGTAGACTGGAAAGGAACTCAGATTGATCCTGGGTGTGCTCCAATGTCTCAAACTCAGGTAAACAAGGAACAACCAGATAAAGAAACTGAGAATGTAAGTAGGCAGTGGGGTAGAAATGGCATTCTAGAGTCCACGTGAGAAAGTATTTCAAGAAGTCTCTGTGGTTCCAGAAAGGGAGATCAGACTGAGAATGAACTATGGAAGGGCAGCACAGAGGTTCAAGGCTGTCTCCAATGTGGAGGTGTAAAGAGGTCAAAGGCATGGATGGGATGGGAAGACTAAAGGAAGTATAACAGTAATCAAAGCAATCTTTTTTCAAAAATTTTACAGTAAAACAGAGCAGAGAAATAGGGTGACTTGTGGCAGTCTGGGGCAGTAATGTGGGATCACAGAAATTTTTTTTGTTTTTTTTTTTTTTTGTTGAGAGCTATTTTTAGGAAGTATAACAGTAATCAAAGCAATCTTTTTTCAAAAATTTTACAGTAAAACAGAGCAGAGAAATAGGGTGACTTGTGGCAGTCTGGGGCAGTAATGTGGGATCACAGAAATTTTTTTTTTTTTTTTTTTTTTTAGTTGAGAGCTATTATAACATGTTTGCATGCTTATGGCTAAGTTCCAGCACAGAGGTAAATTGCTGATGCAGGAAAGAAAGAGGGAACAACTGACAAAGTGGTGATTTGGTTGAAATAGAAATTTGGGCCAGGTCATACACAGCATAACCCAGACCTAGAACTCTGTCCCTTGTTACTCTCGGTGGGAGGAAGAGTGTGACAAAGAGTACTGGCTCCCGGTCCTCTCTTCCCACCTCTTCTTTTTCCTGTTTTGAAAAAAAAAATGATTTACTTCTTCTATGAGCAACAGAGACTGCACCCCCAACAGGGTCTTGACCTCAGAATCCATCCCAGCTCTTGTCAGCTCACAAGGTATACCCAAGGAGACCCCAGGTATGGACCCAGATTCCTCTCATGTTGCTTAGCTTCGTAGTGCATTGCATTTTACAGCTTTGTCCATATCCACACAAGCGCACTCACCAAGGAGAGACAGGGAAAGTGAGAAAGCAAGCTACCAGGTCCAGGACTTGAACCGCAGTTGGCCATGTGGGAGTTCAGAGCCCCAACCACCACGCCACCTGATAGTCCCTAGTTCTGGGTTTTAATCTGGTTCTACCATTGATGCATATATTAGATGTGGAACTTAGACAACTACCTGATTTTTTTTTTTAAGTTATTGCTATAGGGCACCAGAGAGAGACACAAAGAGAGAGATGGAAAGTGAAAAATCAAGCCA